TTATTGTCTTGCACTTTTTTTTCTTTTATTTTTACATTCAGAATGCTTTTAAAAATTCCATTTACAAGACAATTGTTTTTATAATAAAATTTTATTCAATCGGTAGACTCATAACAATTAAAAACAATGTTTTTGTTTGAGTTTGGGTTTGACCAATTCATAAAAAAAGTAATTAAGACATGCGTGTCCGTCAACCTTAAACAATAATCTTTGTCAATTTTATTTTTCAGTCTTTATGATGGTCGATACTTGATCTATCTCTTACTGTTACATCCCCGGGAAACGCCGGGCTCTACTGCTAGTTTTTAATAATGTTTTCTTTCTTAGCAAGGACTGAGCTTGCTGATACTATGTAGTCAACAGTTTCATCAAATTTATGGTATAAGCGACAGGTGGGATTTGAGCTTTCTTGATTTTAGCCATGCAAGAATTACGGTTCCCTCGAAGATGAAGAAGACAATCGAGGCAATTGAGGTATGGTTCTACAGAAGGATGCTAAGGTTACCATGGACCGGACGATGAGGTTTTGGAGAAGATGCAAACAAGGAGGAAGCTTCTACTTAACATCAGTAAGAGGCAGATGAAATTTCTGGGACACGTAATGAGAAAGAAAGGTCTGGAGAATCTGATACTCACAAGTCGAATAAAGGAAAAGAGAGACAAAGGAAAGCAACGCATGACATACCTGGCTGGCTTAAGCAAGTGGATGACAGAACATGGCCTGGGAAAAGTAGCTAAGAGAGAAAAATTATTAAGACCTACAAGGGAGAGGAGGAAGTGGGAAGACATAATCGCCTACGACCTGAAGGGACATGACACATAAAAAGAAAGAAGCATTATTATTATTATTATTATTATTTCCTTTTATTTCTGTTGTATGAATATTTACTTTGGCGTCCCAATTAAAGATCTAAGGTTAGAAATGGCATCATGACATTTTCTACTTATCATTTTTGTAAAAAAATCCTAAGATCACACACATTTTACATAGATAAATCCCTTTGTAAAATGTGAGCTGTACACTTTTGGGATTTCTTTAAGGCATGGGCTACCAGAGATGCCTACAGTGAGTCCATTGGAATCTTTTCAAGCAACCCGAGGGCTCCAACTACAACTGGGATTACTGATGTCTTGTGCCACATTTTTGAGATTTCCACTCCAATATCACTGTCTTTTGATAGTTCTTTGAAGATCATCAAAGATACATGTAAATCTTCAGGTATTGCTATGTCCATAAGAAGGCATATTATATTAATAGTTCAGTACTTTTTTTTTTTTTTGCTTCTGTTGCTCCAAGTCTTCTCTTCATCTGTGAGGAAATTGTCCAGCATTCACTGCCATATAGGAGGATTGATATTACATGACAGTTCAGTACTCTTTTCTTTGTTTCTGTTGCTTCAAGTCTCTTCTTCATCTGTGAGGAGATTGTCCAGCATTTACTGCCATATAGGAGGATTGATATTACATAGCAATTCAGCACTCTTTTCATTGTTTCTGTTGCTTCAAGTCTCTTCTTCATCTGTGAGGAAATTGTCCAGCATTTACTGCCATATAGGAGGATTGATATTACATAGCAGTTCAGCACTCTTTTCATTGTTTCTGTTGCTTCATGTCTTCTCTTCATCTGTAAGGACATTGTCCAGAATTCACTGCCATATAGGAGGATTGATATTACATGACAGTTCAGTACTCTTTTCATTGTTTCTGTTGCCTCAAGTCTTCTCTTCATCTGTGAGGAAATTGTCCAGCATTCACTGCCATATAGGAGAATTGATATTACATAGCTGTTCAGCACTCTTTTCATTGTTTCTCTTGCCTCAAGTCTTCTCTTCATCTGTGAGGAAATTGTCCAGCATTCACTGTTATATAGGAGGATTGATATTAAATAGCAGTTCAGCACTCTTTTCATTGTTTCTGTTGCCTCAAGTTTTCTCTTCATCTGTGAGGAAATTGTCCAGCATTCACTGCCATATAGGAGGACTGATAGTACGTAATAGTTCAATACTCGTCTTTTCGTTTCTAACGAAATGTTCCTGTCTCTTGATACTTTGCTTAGCTTTTGGAAGCTTCTTTCCCTATCCTAATACGCCTTCGGATTTCGGTGTCGCATTTTCCGTCCTCTGTTAAAACACTTCCTAGATATTTAAATTTTTGTACCTGCTTGATTTTAGTGTCTACGTATCTTGCGCTGCTTTTTCGCTGACAGCCATAGTCAGTCCTTTCTTCTCGCTTTCTTTTTCTGCTTTCTGTAGGAGTGCGTATAGTTTACTTTCCGTGTCTGCTAGCAACATTGTCATCTGCATATCTTATATTATCAAGATTGTAGCCGCCAATAATGAATCCTGGTAGGATTTTTAATCTTTTTCAGAGTTTACTCACTGTTAGTAAATCCAATGAAACGACACGCGTGTATTAAGCCCCGTTGTATTTTTGTGTATTTCCTCAATTCGTTTTCTATCCGTATACAGGCTGATTGCTTCCGGAATAAGTTCTGTATTTTGTAAAAACATTTCACCTGAAAACAAGGCAAGAAAGATACTAAGACGCAAAGTGTTGCTGAGAAGGAGAAAATACGAGAAAAAGAAAAAACATTATTAAGGAGAGTGAACAATACAATAACAGAAATGAAAAAGACAGAAGATGACAATTAATGTTGCATTTAAATTTTCAAAGATCAAAGAGAATATACACCCTGGTGCACATTAATTGAAACAACCGATTTAGATTTCTTTCTTTCACCATACGGAAAGTTTTAGGCTCGCTGGAGTGACAGGG